TAGATCCCAAGGAAAGGTGATATATCTAGGGCTCTTTCCTTCTTTTTTATGGGGGAATTCTTCTTTTTTTGAGGAGGGGTCTGGTCGTGGGGCCTGAACTCTGGGCCTGGGTGCTATCCCTCAGCTCTTCAGCTCAAGGCTAGCGCTCTACCACTTGAGCCACAGTGCCACTTCTGGCTTTTTTTCCTTTTGCTTATGTGGTGCTGAGGAATTGAACCCAGGGCCTCATGCATGCAAGGCAAGCGCTCTACCACTGAGCCACCTTCCCAGCCCTGGGAAGTACTCTTTCTTTGTAAATTATATTTTGACCGTCTTGAAGTAGTTGTACAAAGAGGTTACCATTCAACATGACTCTTTCTTGTAAGGGACAAATGAACAAGAAACTTCAAGCGGGTACTTGAAGGGAGCCATTCAAAACTTTTAGTAATTGCTGACTCTGCCTCTTCCCTCCAAGCCACATGAATTTCTATCTCTCACATCATTTTTGCCTCAATTTTTGGGGGGAGGGAGCCCTTATGGTCAGCTTGGGAAGTGGGGAGTAACATCAGATTACTTCTCTGGGGGTCCTGGGGATTGGATTCAGGACCTTCTGCTTGCTAAGCAGGTGCTCTACCACTTGAGCCATGACCCTGATTCTTTTTATCCCAAGGATCTTTCTCTTATGTCTAGTCTAGCCTCTGATCTTGATCCTCTGCCCTCTGTGTCTTGAGTAGGTGGGATTCTAGGAATACAACATGTACACACACACTTGCACGGATGCAAGATAGGGCCTTGTTTACTTTTTGGATTGTGACCCTATCGCCATCACTCAAGTAGCTGGGATTATAGGCATGAGCCACCACAACCAGAGATATCCCCCCCCCCGTCCTGCTCCCCAGGAGGTGCTAGGCAGGTATTCTGTGCTGAACCACACTGTCAGTTCCACCAGAAGAGCTTTCAGCCTTGCTTACACGTGATCTGCAGTAAGCCACCCTCTCTGGTCATGCAAACGTCTCTAGTCAGCATGGCTGCGGCTGGGCATGGCTTTGAGCTTTGCCGAGTCCCCTGTGGACAGTGCAGACCTTCTCCTGGCTGCTGCAGATGGGTGAAAGGCAGGCAGGCTGCTGCTCGGAAACAAAGCCCAGCAAGCTACGGCCTAGCCCGTGGGTTCAAGGTAACCAACAGGCACTGATCGGGTAGAAGCCAGGCCTGGGCGAGGCTGCCAAGGGGTACAGTTGTCCTCTGAGTCCTCAATCTGGTCTCCCCACTTCTCACAGTCAGCTCTGTTTCCTGGCAGAAGTCTTCTCCCCACACCCAGCCCAGGGAGTGACACTGGCTGGGAACTCCAGCAAGGCCCCAGTTGCAGTTCACTCCCACTCTTGGTATAGCCAGAACTTCACGCATGCCGTTGGACTCATTACCCATACAGGCATGCCACCCCCATTGTCCTTGCACAGACAAGACTTCCTGAAAAAGAGAATGACTCGGCCACACAGAGCGGACGCGTGCTCTGTTCTCAGTGTGATTTGCATGTGGGATGGGGCGCGCGCGTTTTAACAGCAGGGCAGAGTCCTTTACTACAAAGAGGAAACAGGCTTCTCCATGAACAGGAAGGCTCCGAGAATGTCTGCACTGCCCTCTGTACCTTGAATCCTCTCATCCATACCGCAGGGGAGATGAAGGAGGATGCTGGACTTGTTCAAATGCCATCTGGCATACAAGGGGATGCCCTACAACCCCCCCCAAACCCCTTCACAAGGTGAGAGGACACATTTGGAGGGACCGTGACTCCTCTTGAGTAAGACCACATCTGGAGGGAACTTCAGGAGGCAGAAAACCAATGACTCCATTCCCAGACTTGCCTAGGCCTTGCCCAAGTCACTATACATATGCCTCAATATTTCCTGAAGAGCCCCACAAGGAAGCCGGGTTCTATCAGAGAGAACCCTGTCATAAATAAGCAACACAAAAATTGCAGTGCCTGGAAGATGGAAATAAAATCATGCCTCTCCCTTGCTCTTTCACATTGTGGAGTAGCAGGGTGGAGCCAGACGTTTTTCAAAGAACTTGTTATAGCAATAGGAGCTGCATTATTCTGAGACTTCCCCCGCTTTTACTAAAGCCATTAAATGAAAAGCCTTTCTGATTCTCACTCCCAAATTAGCCTAACACTTCCCTTCTATACAGCTGAGCCATTGGTTCATAAATTATTTAATATAGCCTTAATTTATACAGATAACCGACTACAAGCCTCAGTGAAAATATCCTGGAAAACTCATTACCCATCAACCTATCTCATAATGAATTCGTCCTATCTTATTTAGATAAAATAAATGAGTAGCAGTGGGAAAGGTAATTGTATTAGGAGATCATCAGAATTCAGCGAGGACTGCAGTCATCGAAGCGTGTTCATGAGGGCTGCAGGAACTCGAGGTCTGAGCCAACACAAAGGTCTCCTGTGTCACTTGATAAATATTTGGGCTGCTCACATTATTATAAAAATCCATAGCCATGTTTATATAAAATTTTTTTTATATAAAGAGGGCTTTTATTGGTGAAATTAAAGGTGTCCACGGTATGTAGAATAGCTAGTGATTGCTGTAAAAATACTCCCTAATCCCATATGCACAGGGTATAAAACCCCAGGAAAGCCGGCCTTACCTTAGACAACAGTGGCTTTTGGTGTTGGATTTCCCCTGGCTTGCTGGAATCTGAGTTGGAATGCCCACAATACCATGCCTTTTCTGAAGGGCATTACATAGGAAACAGATGTTCTATTTGAGCTCATCTGGTGTTCTTTGTGGTGGCTAATTTCTTGGCTCTCCTCTCTGTCTGAGGCGTGGCTATCAGTTCATGCATGGTGGGGATGGAGGCTTGAGCAGCCTCGGCGGGGCAGGCCAGTGTGAGGAAACAAGCCATGGCGAAAGCACAGAGGCCTCCAAAGTCTGAGCGAGGAGAGATGGGAGGACTGTAGCAAAGCAGGGGAAGTGTCATTGGAGCATTTTGCCTTTTGAAGTTGGATTTCCACCAATGAACAGAAGCATACTACTAAGAGACTTTTGACCTATGTCTTGCTGATTAATTGGAAGTAAGTTTCTCAGATTTGTCTACTTGGGCTGGCTTTAAACCAGGACCCTTAGATAGCAGCCTCCTGAATAGCCGGGATTACAAACACAAACAATTGACACCCAGCCCAGTATTATCCTTAAAATCCTTCAATCTGTGATGTCTGGGCCCATTTCTATTGACTAGTTTTCTTCTGGGGATGGATCATGTTTTCTTACAATGTTTGCTTTGGAATCTACACATTATGAATGCTGTCTCATTGTGTGTCTTGATGTTGTTATTTTCCTTTAAAAAGTGTCATGTTTTATTCTTTTTTTTGGGGGGGGGTCTGGTCGTGGGGCCTGAACTCTGGGCCTGGGCACTGTCCCTTAGCTCTTCAGCTCAAAGTTAGCATTCTACCACTTGAGCCACAGCACCACTTCTGGCTTTTTTCTTTGCTTATGTGGTGCTGAGGAATCGAACCCAGTGCCTCAGGCATGCAAGGCAAGCGCTCTACCACTGAGCCACTTTCCCAGCCCCAGTTTTATTCTATCATGCTCTGCTTATGACCTGTCCCCTTTCTGTCTCCAGGGAACTGGAGTGCTCACTGAATTCACCTTCCTTCTTGCAGTAACTCAGTTCTGTGTGCTTGTTTTCCAGACAGTCGTCTCAATAGCCTGTCCAGTTTTCTAGGTACTTCGTAGTGGAGACTCTTCAAGTATTTTATGCTATCATGACCACAGCAGGTATCAGACTTAGACCTTATTAAAATAATGTTTACTGTCTTTAGATGCCATGTTAAAAGCTTTGCATACATTACTTTAAAAAAAAACTCTTCACATAAACGTCACAAAGCAAGGGAAAAAATTTTGAAGCTGGGTGCTGGTGGCTCATGCCTATCATCCTATCTACTCAGAAGGCTAAGATCTGAGGACTGAGGTTTGAAGCCAGCATGGGCAGAAAAGTCTATTAAACTCTTATCTCAAATTAAGCCAACAAAAAGCTGGAATCAAAGATAATGGCTCAAGTGGTAGAGCACCAGTGTTGAGTGAGAAAGCCAAGCTAGAGTGTGAGGCCTTGAGGTCAAGCCCCAGTACTGGCACCAAAAATCCATACATACAGAACTAGGTAAATAATATGTTGGTTATAACAAATCTCCTGATTTCTGCCCCAGTGGCAAGAGGGAAAGGGTGGAGTAGAAGACAGGATTTGAAATGAACTGAAGAGGTCTCAAAACTGAAAAAAAGGGAGAGTCACTGAAACAGAGATGATTTTCTAGAGGCAAAAAGCCAAAACAAAACAAAACAAAAAAAAACGCCACTGTAGAATTTTGGTTAAACAGGGTTTGGCTGCTGATGGAACTCAGGGCTTGCCAGATATGCACAAGGCTCTTGGTTTAATATCTGTGTCGATTTCATCTCACCTGCCCAGCCAGTAGCTAATTAGACCTATTGTCTGAACTCTCTACTTATTGAGAAACAATCTATAAGTCAAATGCTTTTTGAGACCAATGATAGAAATAGCAACAACTGGCCTGAGTAACAGTGAAGGCCAGCTTTGTTCATGTGGTGAATTTGACAAAATGTAGCTTTGATAGACTAGTAGGGTCTAACAAGACCAGCAGTTGTTTAAGAACATTCTAAAACATTCAAGCTTCTGGCAGTAACAGAAATGCTGGCTCTGATGTTTACTGATCTTTGATCTCCTCTCTTCTCTCCCTTCTTTCCTATCTCTCTCTCTCTCCCTGCCTACTTGTCTCCTCCTGTTCTCTCTCTCTCTCACACACACACATGCACACTTTCCCAGCAATCACTTAGAGACACTGTTTTCCTCACTAGAAAAAGCTCCTAGGGGGTTGGGGGGAGATTTGGTTGTATAGGGGTGAAGGGCCAAGAAACACAGCCAGTCAGTCTGAGAGTGAGCAAGAAGACATGGGATATGAAACAAAGTTTTAATCTTTATTTTACATATTTATACATAAAACGTTTAAGGAAGCCTCTGAATTCAAACATTGTTAATAGCACGTCGAGAAATGAACTTCAGATAGTCAACATTCACAAAATGTTGAAAACTGATTAAGATGGCGTCGTCAGGAGAGCTACAACGTCACGAGGCAGACGTCGGGAGAGCTACAACGTCACAAGGAGGCAGGCATGATGTCTCACGTAGCACCATCGGTTACAGATCCTTAAAACCACAGTGGAGGATGGAAGCTGTCAGCGGGAAAAATACTGCTCCAACTTAAAATCTCCAAACCCATAAAAATAAAGCTAAGACTACCCTCTCGGATTTACCACGATTCGCGATGGTGTTTAAGTACTGTACAGTTACTTGGTTTGTTTTTGTAACAATATTTTATTAAAATGCCCGATATTAAGTGGCACAAGTAAAAAAATTAAAATAAATTAAGAAGCAAAGGCCGATCACTGAACAGGAAGCTTCAGACATGACCATGACAAACACTGATATTTGTTTGTTTCTGTGTCACCTTTAGCAATGGCAATTTTTTTTAACCACAGAAGCAAAATAAATTCTAGCTCCTCCTCCTGGTGGCTGGCTTCTCTTCACTTTGCGGGCATTTTCTCTGCCATGTGCTTCTGTTGACTCTCGGCGTGCCTGTAACATACACAGACCAGTCACTGAGTGCTCAGGAAGTGGCTGAGGGGCTCAAAGAGGTAGAGTGCTAGTCTTGAACATAAAAAGCTCAGAGACAGTGCCCAGGCCCTGAGTTCAAGCCCCACGACTGACCCTTCCTTTCCCCAGTAAAAAAAAAAAAAAAAAGGATAGATGTTGAGTGTAGGGCACATTTTTTTTTTTGTGGTTGTGGGGCTTGAACTCTGGGCCTGGGCACTGTCCCTCAGCTCTTCAGCTCAAGGCTAGTGCTCTACCACTTGAGTCACAGGGCCACTTCCAGTTTTCTAGTGGATTATTGGAGATAAGACTTTGCTGCCCGGGCTGGCTTTGAACTGTGATCCTCAGATCTCAGCTTCTTGAGTAGCTAGAATGACAGGCATGAGCCACTGGCGCCTGGCTCCAGGGCACATTTTCTATCAACAAATACTTTATATTCCAGACACTTGCCCTTGTGGAGGGGGCTTGATGGGAAGCGAAGACAGCAAGGTCTTTGTTCCCTTGAGTAACACATTCCAATGAAGAGACAAGAAAGGAACCATGGATAACAAATGGCAGAGGACAAACCGACGTGAGGGCTGGGGCAGACCTCACTGGTGCAGCCTTTACCTAGGACGTGGGGGTCTTGGGTTATATCCCAGAACTGTACAGCAAAACCGTTTAAAAAAAATACCAACCAGGATTTGTGACGGAAGGACTAAGGGACTTGTCTAAGACACAATCTTTGTCTTAACGATGGCTCCTGACAGCTCAGTAATCTAACATGTCCTCACAGAAGCTAATGGCCCATAAGGCCTGGCCTTGGTGGGTGGAAGGACTTCCATATTGCATGTGTTTTTCCTGCTCTGTTAAGGGCATATCCTCACAATCAAGGGCAGGGCTAGGCTGGGGGGGGTGACCTCAAAGCTGGCCAGTCCGGCAGCTGGACAGCGTGGACCAAGACAATGCTGACATCTGTTGAATGCACTCTTCCTAGAGAATGATAGCAGGCGAAGGCCGCAGAAACACAAGGGTCTTGAAGGACAATTTTAGGAAATGGCAAATTTGGCAAGAGAGAAATATCCAAGGCTGTGGTTTCTTGCTGTACTGAAGGGTTGAGGGCTTGTCTGTGTGTACACAGTCTGGGGAGTCAGAGACATCAAGTTCCACTCATTGGATTTATGCAGTGACTCGATTCGGTTGTGCAAGGAAGACAAATACCACAAATACTTTCAGAAAGAGGGAAGTAACTGCAGCAGCCCTGCCACAGAGAGCAGCCGATAAATAAATGGCTGCATGCAGCTCTCAATAAAGACTGGTCGGGGGGAGTAGTGGGGAGTGTACAAGACTTAGCTCTCCATTCCGTAACAAGTCATCCCCTGTTCGTGTGTACAGGGTAGATAGCAGAGACCATTTTCATAAGGCAACTATGTGTCCACAGATTCAAATTTGCCTCAAGAAACATTCTGATTCCACTGTGGCTAATTAAGTTGCTTTACTATGCACGTACATGTACACAGGGACACATATATGAGCAACCATGTATCAAGGCATCTGCTGAGAAGGAGAGAAGAAAACACTTTGGAAAATTGAGTATTCTTCGGAGATAGACATACAAAGTTGAATTTCATGAACACTTTTAAACAAAGGAGGGAAAGGATTTCACTCCACAGGTTTCTCACCATCAACATATATGAAAAGCCTTTGTAAGATTTGCCTCAGACCATTGTTTTTATCAACAATCATACTGAGGACCTACCAGGTGCCTGGCAGGCTCGTCTGATACCCTGGACTGCAAACCTATGACGCTGGGGATAACAGCAATGAACAAAGATGGTGTCATCGGTGCTCTCAGGGAGAGTTCATGTCAAGTGAAGAGAGACTGCGGACAGACCCAACGTGGCGATGGGGCTCCATGTGGGATGGGTGGGCTGTCGGGAGGATTATGAAGAAGAGGGTCCTCACTGAGCCCTGGCAGTCAAAACCTGGCTGCGTAACAGCTGTCACTATGGATGCTCTGTGGCACCCACTATGGGAAACAGCAATGTTGAGTGGCTTGGGGCCATTCCCCAGGGGTCAGCCCTTCAGGATAAAGCTTCCTAGGCCAGGAGTATTGCTCTGATTTCAGTGGACGGGGAGGAAGTCCCAGAGCACGATGCTCCACTCCAGGAGTAGAAGGATGTCCAGGGATGATGGCTTGAAAGTAAGCTGTTTGGTGGTCTGGGAGGCTTTTTGCAGAGGAGCTTATAAACTGCTGTTTTGCAAATTTGGGTTTGCATTAAAATCACCTGGAAGGTAAAGTCCTGAGGCCTCAGAATAATGAAATCTGCAACTCCCGAGGGTGGGGCTCAGGCATCACCATTTCAGAAAGCTTCCTGGATGGTTCCAATGAGCAGCCACCTGAAGACCCACTGATCTGAGTCTACAGCGGCAGGAGAAGGTAAGCAAAATTTCCCAGCAGCCCTTGCAGGCTCCATCAGCCTCCTGAGATCTCTGCTACCGAGAGGAATGTCCCTGTGTCCTCCGGTCCTCCTTAGACCCGTCACCTCTCTGCAGTAGGAGATGTCTGAGGGGGTGGGGGGACATCATATCCCAGCACCTACAGGACTGCTTCCACTTAAAGGCCCCCCTCCAACATGTGACTCCTCTTCTTCCAACCTCATGATCTTGTCTACCCTGTTTCTCATGACCACACTATCTGACAGGTGTGAACACACACAGTGCAAACTGAAGATCAGCAGAATATCGTGAAATGGGAGAAGCCCCTCCTCGCACCCTTTAGTAAGCAATGTCCTTCTGTTCGAAGGTGCAGAAGGAGTTTGTGGAAGAGTTTGGAGTGTATGTGTGTGTGTGTGAAAATCAAAGTCATATATTTTACCAATGATTTTCTGTCATCTCAATACTTCCATGCAAATACTTAGGCTAATAAAAGAGAAAGCCTTGTTTCCCAGTTACTGTAGTGCCTGAAGACACCTGTAGGTGGCACTAATATTATTTTATGTTCTATTCCAGATGCAGGTTATTCTATATATGTTCAACATAGGAGAAGGCTTATTAGTTTTTTTTGTTATTATTATTTGATAAGGGATAAGCCAAAATATTTAAAATACACAAAAAGCATAATCTATAGGCCTTTAAAAAAGAGCCACACAGTATTTAATTTGCTACAAAAGCCATGGCATCATTATAACTTTACTGAAGTGAGGGTCACTACATACTTAAGCTTCTGTGGGGTGGCTCCGGATTATGTTGCCGATTTTTTTTTGTTGTTGTTGCTGTTGGTCATGGGGCTTGAACCTCAGGGCCTGGGCATGGTCCCTGAGCTTTTTAGCTCAAAGCTAGAGCTCTATTACTTTGAGCCACAGAGTCACTTCTGGTTTTTTGGTGGTTAATTGGAGATTAGAATCTCCAATTCTCCAGCCTGGGCTGGCTCTGAAGCATGATCCTCAGATCTCATCCTCCTGAGTAGTGATTATAGGTGTGAGCCACAGGTGCCTGGCTTGTGGTTGAATTCTTATGTGACCATGACCAGCTTTCTTGGGGGTGCCTTCTACTCTCTGAATAACCCTACTGGGATTAATAATTGTCTCTTGGTTTAGAGATGTCATATGGATGGTCTCAGAAAAGGAAATTTGAAATCACAGGAACAGTGGCAGTTGCATATACAGTGTGTGATGTCCATGCATGTCAAGCTTTTCCACAAGGAAGGCTAAGAAGTGGAGATGCCTAACCAGCATTAGTATGGTTTATTTGTTCTCTGAAGAGAGGTGACTGGAGCTAGACGCACTCAGAAGCTCAGGTCCTAGAGTTTCCCTGTGGAAGGAGCTATCTAGTGGCAACAGAGCTGCTGTGAGACCCCAGGTTCCCCACCTTCCAGGCATGGTCGAGACCACCAAGAGCTGGGGCCCCTAGCACCCAGCATCACTCTGGGAATACTCCAGTATAGGATGGCTTAGGACCAGCTCCCTGGAGGACAGCCCAAGTGGACGCAGACCTAAGTGACGATGTAAGAAGGCGTGAGAAGGGCTGAGATACTGAGAATTCCTCACTAGGAGAGCATGGCCACTGATAACAAGTGCATTGGGTCAGGACTCCAGCAGGGTAAAGTCAGGCCTATCAGTGAGAGGCCAACGTCCCTAGGCCTCTCGCTTCAATTTCGGCCCACCCCAGGCTTCCTTCCTCCTTTGACCCACCTGGTCAGGTCCTCAATGTCGACCAGCATGGCATCTTGCTCAGTGTGCAGCTCGTCTCGGATGAGGAGAAGCTGGACCAACTCTTCATTGAAGCCTGGGGTGAAGGAAGGAGCATTGAAAAAATAAATGAAGCCGCATCCAATCCTATGAGCATCATCAACACATTATGGAAAAAGAACTAAGCCCCTCAGGAAAGACACATGAACAAATGGAGACTTCTCACACTGGCCTTTCGTAAGCCCAGGTGAAGTGATCTGTGGGAAAAACAAGGCCCATTTGTGTGCTGGAAGAAAAGGAGTAAAGATGAAAGTATAGACTGCACATTCTTTATCTGAAAATGCATGGATTTGGAAGTCTTTCAAGTCTTAGGGTGTTTTCATAGACTGTAACTTAAAATAGGCATCCATCATCCTAAAAATCTGGAATAAAAAAGCTGGAGTTCAGAGCAGGTTAGTGTTTTGGATTTCAGACAGAGATGATCTGCCCATGTTTTCAATTTCATCCATGTTACAGCGGGAAAAGCAGAAAAGTAGCAGGCTAGGAAAAGCAGGATTTTGTTTGAAGAGTGGGGAGTCCTGCGCAGTCAGGGGTGCCCCCTCAGGTGCCCACTGAGGCCCCCAGCCCCATGCCCAGCAGGGAAGGTGGGCAAGTCATGGAGAATCGGAGTCTTCACTGAGAAGAACTAGTGTCTGAATACATTGGAAAGTTAGCTCTCTGGAAGAGTCGGATGTGTTAAGATTTTCAAATTTCTGGATAGTCTTCTTCAGATACAGGAGATTAAACACAGGTAGTTGCAAACAATACACTAGGTTAATGTGACTCCTGTGTCTGACACATTTGAACAGGCAGGAGACAGTTTCTTGCTCCCCCAAAGAAGCTAAGAATCATAGCTGGGAGGGCTCGATAAGGGGGAGAGCTCTGGGTAGGGAAAGAAAAGAAAGTGGGGGAGGAGTAGAGAACATTCTAGCAGTTACCTTGGAAGTGCTTCAAATGATGCATCTGTCTGTGTTTAGTTCTGATTAGTTTCCAATTTATCAAAAAGAGAACTATCACATAAATCTAACATTCCACCTGCTTTTAAAAAGATGTAATTTTGTTATATTGACCTAACTCTTCCTTAAGAATCTCTCTCTCTCTCTCTCTGGAAGTTGCAAGGCTTGAACTCAGGGCCTCACAAGTGTTTAGGTTTCTTGTTCACAGCTGACACTCTATCAAGTGAGCCAGGCTTCTAGTATAAAATTTTGCTGCAAATGGAATCTCTTGAACTTTTCTTCCAGGACTGGCTTCAATCTTGATCTTTAGAAATAGGTTTCCTGGGGCTGGGAAGGTGGCTCGTGCATGAGGCCCTGGGTTTGATTCTTCAGCACCACATAAGCAGAAAAAGCCAGAAGTGGCTCTGTGGCTAAATGGTAGAGTGCTAGTCTTGAGCTGAAGAGCTGAGGGACAGTACCCAGGCTCAGAGTTCAGGCCCAACGACCAACCAGGGGGAGGGGAGTGGAAGAAAAGAAATCGGTCTCCTGAGTAGCTAGGATTACAAATGTAAACAAACCCATGGGTGGTCTGTAGACCTAGACTTTTAAATAGTGGTAAAGTATCAGAGAGCCTTTCCTAATTCTTGACTGAATAACAATCATAGCAATTAAATCCCAATGAAAATAGTTGAGATTGTTTTTAAAAAGACTTGTAAAGTGAGAATGATTTCTTAGTGAAAAGCCTCTCTTCCTTTGGACTCCATTGGCATCAGCTCACTGTAAGACCAGACACTCTAGTGAGTGTTACTCACACTCACTCTGGACACTTCTGTTAGAGGTCCTTCTTTATTCTGGGGGAAAAGCCCATACTCTGACACCCTGTAATTTTCACATATTAGTAATGCGCAATTTCACCACATAGAAGTCCACAAAATAAGTCTCGTTTGACTGACGATAACTAACACAAATGTGTACACAACACAAGTAAAATAGAAGGCATAAATTACACAAGTGACTGGTACCTACTGACCTATATTCTAGAAGCAGATGTTGTGAGTTAAATACCTATACTGTGTTAGGAGTAAGAGAATTAAGACAAATGAGAAGGATCCCTAACCAGGGTGAATCTAGCAAAGTTCTTAAAACTTCTGACATTTTTACAGTCAAGAAAACAAACCAAGATCACAGAGATAATCTTAGCTATTCAGGAGGGTGAGACACAGACTCTTTATCTGCAAACAACCAGCCAAAAAACCTGGAACTGAAGGTGTGGCTCAAGTGGTAGAGCACCCAGCTAGATTGAAAAACCCAAGCAAGAGCTCAAGGCCCTGAGTTCAAGCCCTAGTACTGGCAAAACCAGACAGGCAAACAAATGAAACAAGACAAGCTGGTGATTCTCTTCCTGTCCTTGCAAACGGACAGGCATAATGTGGTCAAAGTGTCGCAGGAAGGAACAGAATGAAGGGAGAGTGCAGCCCTGCCACCCCTACCCCCCCCCTCCAGCCCGGCCAGTTTGTCCCCCCCCCCGCCCAGCTCTTCACTCACTTTCTATCTGGGAGTGGAGGTCATTGACGATCACTTGTAGCTGCCCAATCGTCATGCCTCTCAGGTCCGTGGGCTTTAAACTTCTTTTCATCAAGCATTCACTTATATGAGGCATGTGCGGCAGCTGAGGGCACAGGGGAGAAGCGGAGGTGTGCATGGAATCACAAATACCCGGAACACAAGATGTGGATTTCCCTCATTCACCCATTCCAATTCAGGTTCTGTCTCTCAAATCTCTTCCAGCCTTAGGCCTTCAACCTTCTCAACAAGGAAGTGGTGTATATATAGTATACAACACAACCTGCTTCCTTCCCAACATGGAGCCCATCTATACATCATGTTGGCCAATAATACCCTTCTCACAAATGCTATACTACCTGCATCAGAGGCTTTTTGAAGTTTGGTTGTTTTTTTTTTTTTTAACACAAATGTATTACCCAGGAGCATAGGTAACACCAATAGTGACATGGATAGAAGTGATCGCATCTGATACAACCTAATGTATACCAGGCTATGGCACTGTGCAATGTGCTTTAAACACTGTGTCATCAACTCCTCACAATCACCCTCTAGCATTTGGTAGATGAAAAAAGTGAGACTTAAGTCATTCTCCCAGAATCAAACAACATGATCGAAGGCCCAGTGAGACTTAACTCCAAAGTCTAGGACTCTCACTCTGCTCAGCTGTCCCATGAAAGGCTAGAATGAGAATTTCAGGGACAGACGGTTTGCCGCAATTGATGGGTTCATAAACCCAGACTGGCTTAAGTGGTTTTATTCCTAAAACAGCCAAAATTGTCTTCCAGAAACAGAATGGACCCGAATTCAGAGCAGAGAGTGCTTTTGTGGTATCTATTGCTAACTTTTCTTTCAGGGCTACAGCAAGAAGGAAAAGGAAACAAAATTATTTCTCAACAACAGTGCTTTTGACAAACTGCCTTGGAGAAACCCAAGTTTGCACAACCGCGGGAGAGGATTGGGACAGCCTGTGCCATCTGCAGGCAGAGACACTAGCCGGTGCCACAGCCTTGGGTGCTTACGAGATCAGCGACAGGAGACTTTTTCCTGTTCTGTTTTTCTACTTCGACTTGCATTTTGGCCATGGGTTTGGCCATGGCCAGCGCCATCTTGGCTTCGGCTTGCAACTTCTTTTGTCTTGTGAGGAAGTCCATGTCATCCAGAGATTCCGATTCCTCTTCAGTGGTGTCTCTATCGGAATAGGAAGAGCTCTGTTTGCTCTGTGAAGGAAGAGAGAACAAGCCTGAGCTTTCCCATCCATTTGGTGATGGACTATGGCATCCCGTGGCCGCTCTCCATCACTCAAGTAATGGATGAAAGGTTTTAGCTTACATAGAAAGAACAGTGTAATTAAAAATGGAGACAATATTAACTAACACTGGACCCAGAGCAAGGTGCTGTGTTGGAACTGAGAGCAGCTAGGATGTCAGGTGTCTAATGACATTCTGGTGCTGCTCTGCCTCAGTCAACACAGTTTCTGACTGGTGATCCTTGGTAAGAAAAGAGACCTTAGAGAGAGGGAAAAAAAACAGCCAGGCGACAAGTACCCCTCATTATTCAGATACCTTCTGTAAGAAGTGAAAAAGAGGCTGGAGGCATGGCTCAAGGACAGAGTGACAGCCATAAGCAAGAAAGCCAAACTCTATTTATTGTACTTTACATTTATAATTTTCCCACCTTAGACTCATGAGTGTTGGGATTACAGGTGTGTGCCATCACGCCTGGTTTCCTTTCAAACACACACACACACACACAATCTGATTTCTCTTTTAATTTAATATGAAAGCATATCCCTACTGTATCAGGACACTGATGATTTTTCAATCATGCTCAGTTTCTACAAGCATGGAGGTGTATGTGTGTGTGTGTGTGTGTGTGTGTGTGTGTGTGTGTCCAGTACTAGGACTTGAACTCAGGTCTTACTTTCTCACTCAGTGCTGATGCTCTATCATTGGAGTCACACCTCCCCTTTCCAAGCATGCAAGAAAGCACACAGACCCTTGACTGCGAGCTGGAGGACTTACCATGGGGGACAAGGGGGTGTCCAGGCTGGTCTCAGTTTTGCTGTCATCGGCGTCACTGTCCTTGTCACTACCACTGTCATTCACAAAGCAGATCTGCAAGTTCATCCCGCTCTGGAGGCTGCATGGAAACACAGGACGCTCATTGGCTATTTGCTAGCAGTCATAGCCAATGACGATCTGTTAACAGAAAGCTGTTCCTGTGTTCTTCACACCCATCAGCTGGTGAGTGACCACTATTACTTTCCATTTCTAAATTATAACTTTTGTTAGAGGATGCTTTGCTATCCTATTAGTTTTTATTTTCCCCACATTGATTCCATATTTAGTAAAAAACAAAGGCCAGATATTGTAGCACACAGCTCAATACAAAACACATAGTTGGTGTGCAATAAAAATGCTAGGAAACATTTGTCAATGATGATAACCTGTGTCTTTGGCTAAGGAATGTTTCCTGGGTTCATCCAGGGCCCCCATTCTTGGAGGGACAATGCCGAGAGGGTTGCTAGCTCCGGAATGCCAAGGTCACGGCTTTCTGAAGAAAGGCTTCTTCTTCCCCTCAGTAGAACAGCCTCACCTGAAAGAGGCCTTTGTGCAAGGCAGTTACCCAAAAACGCCAGTGGATGAGACTCACTTTTTTTCTCCCTGAGAAACACATCACAGGCTCACCTTGAATAAACGCTAGGAAAGTCAACAAGCCATCAGAAAGGTTCTTTGAGGCAGGAAGGCAGCAAGGGTCTGCAGCCTGCATCTTCCCACACAGAGCTGCAAAATGGCGGCCTTCCTTCCCAGTTGTTGGGGCTCGTGAGAGAGTCACTGTGTGGTGAGCCCAGGACAGAGGCTCTGGGGATGTGGTCACCTAGAGGAGACCAGGTGGCCTCCATCCTGCACCGCCAGGCTGCAGGTCTGGCCCAGGCCTGGCCTTCTCTTGAAGGGGAACACATTTCAGCACGATTTGATGATAAAGAAGCCCTTTCCTAGCTGATGATGGAAAAGTGGAAGGGTGCGTGAACACAACTGTACTATTCAAGGTACCCATGTGAAAATGAAGCCAGGGTGGGCTGGGGGATGGGTGGGGTTGAGAGAGAGGGGGTGGGGCCATGGAAGGGTGTGGTGACGCTGATCAAGATGTCATGCGCTCATAAACCCATGTGGTGAACTGAAGCCTCTCTGGACAATGACTTGAAGATCATTAAAACTTTTTTTTTTGGAAAAAAGTACTTTTCTAGCATCAGTAGTAGTCCGGGTCTCAGTGTAAGCTCTGTGGAGAGAAAGAGAAGGCAGAAGGAGGGCCCTGAGCAAAAAAGCCACCAAAGGAAGTTGATCTCAGATAGACTGAGGACAGAGGCCATGGAATTTACTGTGGTGACATTGCTACCACAGGGAGAAAGGCAAAGAGAAACTTATCTGCTGGGGCTCCGGTGCCTCACACACCTGGAATCCTATCTACTCAGGAGGCTGAGATCTGAGGATCACAGTTGGAAGCCAGCCCAGGCAAAAAGAGCTCATGAGTCCCCAATGAACCACCAAAAAGCTGGAGGTGAACTGTGGCTCAGGTGGTAGAGTGCTAGCCTTGAGCTGAGGAGCGCAGGGACAGAGCTGCTTGACCTCCTTGGGCTCAAGCCCTGGGACTGGCACAAAAAAAGACACACCCCGCTCCTCCCTCCAAAAAAACCCCCCCAAACGCATTTGACCTCTGTGTTTGGTTTTTTTAAATTTCACTTTACTGACATTTCCAGAGGTTTAAAATGCTTCTTTCATGGAAATCAATACAGAACCCTAAGAAAAATCTAAAACAAGCTCCACAATTATTATGGATACGTGCTGCCACCTATAGTTAAGTTCTGTAATTACAGCGTCACCTAATCCTTTAGAAAATGTAGCTTCCTCTGGAAGTCCAGCACTAATCCCTCCATACTCTCACAACAACCGCAAGGAGGGCCCTGCACAGGCCAGCGGGGTGACTGGCAGCAGATTCCCAGTGATCAGCTTGAGTAGCTGATGTTAGTGGACTTCTGTCACAAATCCTCTCTTCATTCTCCAAGTACAAGTTCTATAGAGCTCAGTTTCCCCATCTGTACAATGGGATGAAAAGCAAACACCTTTGTTTAGTAGAGATTATAAGGGCTCCTTCAGAGGCTGGCAGAGGGCAGGTGCTCTGTATATGTTAGCAATCTTCCTTTTCTACTACCTGGAAGTCTGGGCAAAGGAAGAGGGACCCTAAAAGTCACTTCCCCTAACCATCTATGGCCTTGTCACAGCAATCCCAGACATAAGGTCAGCCTGGCAGGACCCTCCATTGGTCCTTAGCTGTTACCTTAGCACACATGCTTGTTCTGTGTTGGGATTGGCTTTCTTTTGAACATCCTTCTCTGGAATTTGTTTTTTCCTGTAGCACTCTAATTAATATTAGGTTTTCTTTTGACTTATAAGGTCTAAGAAATTCTAATACCTGAAATCAGTCTACAAAAGCAAGACAAACTTAATAATACAACTCAAGCACTCTGGTTTGAGTGATGATAAAAAACAAAAAAATACACAAATGAAGGCTAACTTAGCCTAACTCTGAAATTATGGAGTCTTTGTTCTCTATTTGGAAAAAGTATTGTAAAGATGCATCTGGTCACTGGACATACAGTTGATAAAAATAGGGGAAAAAAACCCTACAATATTCTGCCTCAACCTCCTCTTCAGGAAAGAGTGATGCAGACTCCAGTCCCGCAACCTGTACCACACTGAGTTTCTAACTCAGGAAAGGCAAAGGGAAAGGCTTAGTAGTTGGGATGAAATGGAAGATAAATAAATAACTAAGCCTCAGGTAGAGATCCAGAAAATCTCCTTAGAGCCACATTATCACCTCTGGAGGGGTCTTGTAATTCCTCCCCGCAGTAATCGCTGAGGTTATGGTGGGAAAAGGGACAGGTCTGACATCCCAGCTAGGGGTTCAGAGGAGATTTCAGCAAAGACGTCTTAAACAGGCTTGGGTTTTAAGAAGGATTTGTTTGCCCTCAGCCATTAAGCAGGTTTTCCAGAGGAGACAGCTCTGGGCAGAGCTCAGCTCCACGGTTCTCAGGCAGCAGTCTGACCGGGGTCCATTGGGACAGAAAATGCCTGTCCCAGGCTCTTCTCACTCGGGCCTGCTCCCTCCTAAAGATTGAGATCATACTGCAGTAGAATTTTACCACTCACATGTAACCAGTCTTGTGAAATTCAGGCTAGGGGGTGGGGGGTGGGGGTGTTAATTTGCCCAGATCTCACAAGCACCATCTGAGTAAAGGCAAAACAAGAATCCTATCTTACTAATTCCAGATATCACTCTGAGGTATCTAATGTGGGGATTGTATTTTGCACAGCACCGTATACACAAAGTCTGTGAGTCTGCCCAGCTGCTTGAATTCCTCCCCTTGCCCCCCAAAGGTCTAGGTTATGTTGGAAGCCTTCTTTCCCTTCTGCGCTGTTTTATAAACTAAAACCAACAGTGCCGCCCCAAGCAATGCACAGGGATGTAGGCCTGCGAAGAGATGAACGTCTTCTTGTCATCTGGAGATAAACAGAGGTGGGAGACAGCGGCTGACGGGTCCACTGGCCTGGTGTGGAGCTGTGCGCACTGGTGGAGCGGCTGTTTAGCAGACCTGTCTGCTTAGCAATTACTGTTACTAGAAAACAGCTGGGCTGACTTCCAGCCGCCATTAACCAGAATGATTACCAAATCACGCAGGGGGCTAAGGATGGCTGGGGATGAAAAGCTTTTTACCTACTAAGCGGAGCGCTCAATAAACACAGCCTATGATTTGGTATAAAGACAGCACTTCTCCTGGCGTGGTGGTGCAGCTCTGTAATCCCAGCCCTCAGGAGGTGGAGGGAGGAGGATTGTGAATCTGAAGCCAGCCTGGCTGATACAGCGAGAGTCTTATTTCAAAATTCCAAGAGCTGGGGATGTAGTTCAGTGGTCAGAACACTTGCCTAGCATGTGCAAGGCCTTTTGGGGGCTGATCCCAGAAATCATCAACTATTTATTTAACACTCCTTTCAAGATACAGGGACAAATATGGGGTTATTCCTGACCAAAAACAATGTCATGGTCTTCCAGTTTGCTGGTGGCAGAGGACAGCGGCCTCGTCAGTCTGGCCTCTGGCAAGAGTCTTTGTTGATGAGACAAAGGACCAGTGTGAGGCCGGCCCTGAACCCTCCACTGGGTCCTGCTTTCTGGCTTTAGAAAGGAGAACTTCCTAGCACCAGCTTGGACCACCAGCATCAATGAATCACTATTTGATTTTCTGGTAAGATTTTACGCACATGTAGGCACACGTGCGCACGACCATTAGCTCAGCTGAACTGTTGAATTAAATTTCAGTTGTACAGGATGTCTGCAAAGGTCTCTCCCTGTGTCATCTGGTCACCTGTGGACTGTGGATGGGATGAGTTTACCCAGGGAGGTTCGGAGACACCCCGGGCGGGCCACCCCGGTGGCCTTTCTAATGGATCCCAGGGCTCCACGCCCTGGTGTGCACCCTTGTGGCAGTTAAGTACACAGTAAAGGGTTACCAAGGCTGGACTCCTGATAGTTTAATCCAATGGCGTCTCCCCAGACTATTCTTCTCGTATTTTTTTTAAATCTGTGGAACAGGTTATTTTAAATAACCTATTTTGCTAACTTTTTTTGGGGGGGGGTCCGGTTGTGGGGCCTGAACTCTGGGTCTGGGCACTGTCCCTCAGCTCTTCAGCTCAAGGCTAGTGTTCTATCACTTGAGCCACAGCACCACTTCTGGCTTTTTTCATTTTGCTTATGGTGGTGCTGAGGAATCGAACCCAGGGCCTCAGGCATGCAAGACAAGCGCTCTACCACTAAGCCACCTTCCCAGCCCCCCAGACTATTCTTAATTTTAGCTTTTGTTGTATTAGATCCTCGGTGTCCATCAGTGTACTTTGGAAGTTGCTTGTAACACCAGGGCAAGTATATAGATTTCCTTAGAAAACAGAGCAAGAGAGAGCTTCCCACAGATGCCCACAGATGTCACACGTGCGGCGTTCATGATCCGCATGGCTGGTTAGCCATTGGCCACGCGACGCCATTTATTGCCCTATTTTCTCAACTAGTTGGTGGCCAAGCCATTAAAATAT